ATAAATACTAATTATTATATATAATATTTAATATTTAATAGTAATAATTTTTTTAGCCAATCAGATTTCAATCAGGTAGGGTGGGAAGTTAAGGCTACTAATTGAGAGAAATCAGCTGATTTCTGGCACACCCTTAAGTATCTTTTTCAAATTTTTATTTTTAGGTCAAACTTGTAGAAAGACAATTTTTAACGTACATTCTTTTCAGAATACAGATTATGTGATTGTGAAATTGTGAATTACTATGACTGAACTTTGACATTTTATTTATAATTATTATTACATTAGATAGATACTAATATCAGTAATATGTATATATACAGTTAACTTTTAATATAACGAAGTTGACATCTGGGCTGATCAGGCCTTTGTTATAGGAATATTCATTAATATGATGGAAAAATCTGGTATAATACAGAAAATTTTTGTATATTATGGTATATTGTCGTTAAGGTTGCTTGCCGAAACTTAGGGGTTTAGACAAGATGGTATTTCGCCGAAAAGCGAAATTCTGCTGAAACTATATTAAAGTTATATTAAAAAACTGGCGAAACTTTGGAGAAAGGTGAAACTGCCAAAACTTATTATAAATGCCGAAACTACTGAAACTCTGCTGAAACTATAATAAATCTATAGTAAAATTTTGATGAAACCAATCGTAGGATTTTGAAGAGGTTTAGACAAGCAACTTTAATTGTCGTATAATAATTGTATCTTATAATACAAAAACGCAAGTTACACAAAATGTCTTTATTATATTAAAAAAAATTTTGTTATAAAAGAAAATTCGTTATTAAAAGGGGCATTTTTCATATACGGTTTATAAAATTTACTTTGTTAAATGGTATACAGCATTTAATTAGTAAAATTTGGTATAATGAGATTTTTTTCATATGTTAAAATCTGTACCATACTGAAAATCTGTTATATTGTAAAATTCGTTATATCAAAATTCGTTATAAGAAGAGTTGATTGTATTTAGGTGTTTAATAGATTTAAATTGAAACTAATATTTAATAAATATATATATAATATTGAAACTAAGTTCAGAAATAAATCGGTCATCTTAGACCATAATTCAGCTTAAAATTTTGTGTCAAATATATTACTAATATTGGTTGAATAAAGTACGAATAATGGCCAAATAATTAGTGATTTAACGAATAGTTTATTTCCAAATTTTTGCTGATAATAACAAAATTTTGCCAATTGGTGATTGCCAAGTAACAGGTAAACTGTACAAATTATCTATAATAATTTTAACGATTTTTTGGCAATGATCAGCCAAAATTATACCAACTATTGTCCAACATTCGTCAATTTAAAATTTAGATGAAATGTACTATTCTGACCAGTATAATATAAATACTTTTTTATAAGCAAATTACTTTTATAATTGAGAATTTTGCAAAATTTCCTCTGAAAATCACTAATAAATTGACTCTTTCCTACATAATTATTCAGAAAAATTCCAAGTCAAATTTTTGGAAATCGATTTCTTTAGGAAGTAATACACGAGGATCACACTAATTTGAAAATAGTGATAATAACAGATTTAACTATAGCAATAGAATAATTCATATGGGCTGATTTGTTTACAAAGAGTTATTGATTGATTTTCACAATTTTTGTTACTCAAAATTATTTTGTAAAACCAAAAAATCATCTGATTGATAATCACTTGACTAAATAATAAGTTGAACAAAAATTTACATTTGCGAAACTTAAATTATTAAATGTAAAAGAACTGTGAAAAAACCCATTTCACTAATAAAAAACCCATTTCTTATATATATGGCATTTTAAACATATATTATTAAAAAGTAAGTATATTTTAATAAAATATAAAGTAAAATAAAAATTTATATAGCCTTAGTAGCTATAAATGCTTATAAAAGTATAATAAAAATATCATATAAAAGATGGTATGATAATAGATATTTTCAAACAATAAAAATAATTATTTTATGTCAGAGTTTGTATTATCATCTTTAAACGCAAATATATCAAGATTCACTGATCCATTTTCTATAATTTTAGGCTCGTTGGAAAGCCCTTGTTCTGGACTTTATAGGTGAAAAAAGAGCTCGCCAATTGAATCATTAGATCTGAAGATATTTACGTTTAAAGTTAAGGTACAAACTTTTTAACATACCTAAATGCAAATATCTTGAGATCTACTGATCTATTTTGTATAAATTTAGGCTCTTTGGAAAGCCCTTGATCTGGTATATATGAACAAAAAAAGAGCTTGCCGATTGGATCACTGGATCTGAAGATATTTACATTTTAAGTTGAGATATAAATTTTTAACATATATAGTAAGTGCTAAAAATTATATTAATTTAAAAGAAATATTTACCAAATTATAGTATAATAACATTAAATAAAAATTTTTTAATACTCATTCCCAATTTACTGTATATTATATAGTATTTTGTATAATAAAAATGTAATAAAATTAATATTTTAATTAAAGGTAGACAAATCAGCCTATATGTAGATATTTTTCAACTTTCAAATAGATTCCAATTGAATACAATTTAAGAAAATTTATTAAAACTCTAATAAATACTAAAGTAATAGCATGTTAAAAACTAATAGATATAAAATACCAATAGCCTGAAATATAACTTGAAATCTGATTTATAGATATAAAGAGTTAATTATACCTTAATTAAAAAATATTGGCATTTAATATTTATTGTTAAATTATTTGCTAAACTTTTTCACGTAAGTATCACTCTAATCTAATGTAAATTAAACATATACAAAGATTTTATTTATCTCAGATGCAATGCTAATAAAAAAGAAAACAGATATCACTTTATTGAATATGATGCCAATAAGGATCTATGGCCTATAATTAAAAGCAGAATACAAGATGGCTTAGTTCCTATAATTCAAAAATTGAGTAAATACAGTTAAAGTTATAAGAGAGAAATTAAATCAGTACTAGAATTACAATATAATGATAACAAGTTTATTGATTTTTGCTTATCATTAGCTTTGAAAGCCAAGATTAGTACTAAATTATCCACTATATCAAAACAGACTTTTGGATTTCCAGAGTTAAAAATATTTATTCTTGGCCTTACTTCTGAATTCCTTTATTATAAAAAAAAAAAAAAAATTATTTGAAAGAAGCATTTTGATAAAAAAATTTTATTTAACTACTAATTATAATAATAAAGGCTGGAAGATTTTTTTATTAGCTATTACTTGCAATTATGTAAATAATTGAAAAAGTCTCTCAAACAATTGAATTTCTTGCTAGTTTATATAATACTATATTTATTGTAAGGAATAAGTAAATGCATTTGGATTTCAACTAAAATTTATAAAACTATAAGAAATATTCAAATCAGCCAATTTACTTAATAAAAACTTGCTTATATTTATTTATACTTAATACTTATTTAATTTTTAATGGCAAATACAATTTTTTTTCTATATTATTTTAATAGTTGAAAATACCAAATTTTCAAAATTATATTTTAAAATCTGCAACTTATAAATAGCTTGTCAACTACAAGTTTTGTTAAACCAAAAATTTTAATAAATAAATCTAAATTGAATTAACTTGAATCGGTATAGGAGCCCGAGCAATACATATACAGGTAACAAGAAAGGTCAAAAATTTCATAATAGCTCTACGGAAGGTTTTTATTAAGATAAATAAGCAAAGTCAACATGTGACTTCACAAAAAATAAGCAATCTAATCATATGACTTTATAATATTTTATTGGTCAGTCATGCAGATTTTGACGGACTGATATTTTTTGTTGATGGCTAAATAATTGATATTTTTCTTTTATTGGCTAAATATCAAATATATTTGCAGTTTAATTATACTTTTTATATACTCTTACTATAATAATAGCATGACTGACGCAATAATCTAGTTATTGGTTATGGTGGATAAAATATCGTGTCACCCCTTCGGGGTGGCCGATATTTTACCCCCCCTAACCAATAACTATTATATATTTTGCACAAAAATCATTTAATCAATTTTCTCGCATTTATGATTTCACAACAAATGTTTCATTTTTTAAATAATATCATCTTAGGTAAAATATCCATTACAGTAATTTTATTACTATGTTAGGTGTTATATAGTGTATTATTAGATAATACAAATTTACCCAAGAAATAAGCAATTGGAAATATATGACTTTTCAAAAATTCTACGAAAATAAGCAAATGAAAAAAATATCATTAATTTTACGCAAATTCAATCTCTAACTGTGGTTAAAACAGCATGTGACTAAGCAAATGATATTGTTATCTATACATATATTGCTCGGGGTCCTATCGGTATCCAGAATGTGAAATTTAAAATTTGGGTAAGTCTAAAATATCGAAATTTCAAGAACACGTGTTATTTTACTGATCAGTTCTAAAAATGGATAATAAAATTTAAAATTCTTTTAAACAGTTGTTTATTTAGCAATATGAAAAAATATAAGCTTTTTTTTTCCCGTCAATTTAAGATTACAAAGCTTATATAGGAGAACGAACGTTTGCTAGAATATAACGTGAGTATTATTTATTATCTTTAACTTAATCAAGAAATTATAAAATCGAAAACGTGTTTACAATCCGAGAAAAATTTAAATGGCTAGAGATACCCGCACGTATGACTTCCCATTCAAGCAAACTGTTTAAGCGACAAAATGATTTTTTTATTTAGATAATTGTCATGAAAAATTTTTAAAATTTTTTATATTTGAAAGATAAAAATGTTTGCTGACGCGACATTTAATTACAAATAGTCAAATATGTATGTTTCGTATAGTAAACATTGCTCGTGACGATTTTGTGTCACCAATGTGATAATTAACGGAATTTAATTATACTCTACTTTGTACGCCACTATTTCACGTTTTTGTTCAGTGAACTTTGTGAACTAGTGAACCCACTTGTTTTCTCTTTAACTTCCTAACATTATTTATCAAACGTATAAAAACGTGCCATAACAATTTTAAATTTAGAAATGGATATCACAGCACCAAACATATCAACTGCTTCAACGTCCACCTCGGATACTTCAAATGAAAATTTAAATAACGCGAGTACTCCACCTCCCAAATCACCAACCATAATTCCAACATCTTTACTTGCTACACCTCCTACACCAATATCGAATATTTCGGAAGCTAGTTCACAAATTCCAAGGCCAAATTCCGGACCTATTTACTCGGCTGTTTACTCCGGTGTTCCAGTATACGAATTTCTTGTAAGAGATGTTGCTGTAATGAGGAGACGACCGGATTCATATTTAAATGCCACTCAAATATTAAAAGTTGCTGGTCTCGAAAAAGGAAAACGTACCAAAATCATTGAAAAAGAAGTTTTAACCGGTGAACACGAAAAAGTTCAAGGAGGTTATGGAAAATATCAGGGTACTTGGTAAGTTTATTTGCATAGTTAATTCTATATATGTTGTCATGGCGATTTGTTGATTAAACTATAAAAGTAATATAATTAATTATATAATATTAAGTTTCTTGTCTCTTGACACGGTTTAAAATCATTTATATAAATTATTATTATTAATTTATAGAGATTTTATAATAAATACTTCTAGTTCACTAATAAATTTTTTCATTTGCAATTTAACTGATTATAGGGTTCCTTTTGAAAGAGGAAAGGAACTTGCAGAACAATATGGTGTTCTTGAAATTTTACGTCCATTATTGGAATATCAGCCACCAAAACACGATGTACCATATTCATCTTCTCCATATACACCTACAAAAGAACAAGCGATGGCTGCTCTACGTCGAAGAAACGCGCAAAGTAATCAGAATAGTAATAGTAACATAGTAAACGGCATGCCAAATGGATCCGTCAATTTCGGTCATGAAGAAGCTACCGCACATTCGGAAGTTTCTGAACCAATACAAACTATAAGTGAAATTGAAGACGAAGAACGTCTTCGAAGTATATTGTTAGCTATTTATTGTAATGAGGATCCCAATTCGATCCCTGAACTCATAGTACAAGTTTGTTCGCCATCACCAGCAGATTACGATTTAGTTCTTGATGAAGGTGGACATACCTCTCTTCATTGGGCAGCTGCATTAGGTCGTTTACAAATTGTAGAATTATTATTATCAAAAGGTGCCAATTCACAAAAAGCTAATTATGATGGCGAATCAGTTTTGGTCCGTTCTGTTTTAACAACTGCAAATTATGAGGCACAAACATTTTCTAGTATAATTGAACTTCTCCGTGACAATATACATATGACCGACAAAGACAATCGTTCTGTCTTTCATCATCTGGCATTGAGCGGGGCCGTCAAAGGTCATAGTGCTCCAGCAAAATATTATATGGATTGTTTGTATGAGTGGATAACATCACATAACATCGATATCTCAACTGTATTAAATATTCAAGACTCTAATGGCGACACGGCTTTAAATCTTGCTACGAGGCTAAAACAAACTCACATGTGTCGGCAGTTACAAGAAATGGGTGCAAATCGTCAGATTGAAAACAAAGTAGGATTGCGACCCTCAGATTATAGCCCGAATGCCACTGAGCAAATGGAAATCGACGAAATTCAAGAAGTGCGTTTACTACTTTTTTTTTCCTTTGATAAACGTATATTCTCATTTTTTTATATTCAATTCCTTTTGTTTAGAATGGACAACCTCAGTCTAATGAAACGATAATAGACGTCTTCACACAACCGGATACAATAACATATACTAATCCGCGTAAAAGAAACAGAGAAATCGTTGAAGGTAAACTCTAATTTTCGTCATTGAATATTACGAATATTATTTTAAGTAATTAACGCGTTATAAACTTTTATATTATCATTTACTATTCCAAAGTCATCCACAAATTGGTTGAAGATGCAGAAAATGAATGGATAGAACAGATTAAAACAAAAGATGAGCAAATTAATAACACCCGAAACAAATATAATCGAGATTCAAGACTACTTATGGAAGCACAGAGAACCATGCAATGGTATCGTTCACAAGAAAAGGAATATGAAGAAACTGAAACTAGAATCAAATTCCTTGAAACGGTGTTGCGTAGCGAGCGCGATGATGATCAAGAAGATTTTGGCCTAAGAAAGCGTCAGAAACTCTCACATTCGAATGGGAACGACTCTAATGATAAATTATCTGTAGCATCAACTACTATTTCTTCTCCAATAACCCAATTGCCACCGATAGAAACAACAACGTCATCAGAACCAACGGTTACAGTGCAAACAACAACGACAGCAAATAGTTCTTGTAATGATTCCGCAACAACTTCAACGATCCCGAACGCAGATTTACTTTCTACGGAGACTGCCTCAATAGAGCAAAATAAGCTCCCAGAAATTATAATCACACCACCAAATGATGCTGCTCCGCCACCGTTAGTTCAAACTCAACCGACTGCTCATACTACCGACGAAATGATTGATGGCGAAATAAGGAGCTTACAGGCACAAATCACCGCATATATACGTGATCAAGAGCTTCTCAAACAGGAAATTGAAGCTCTTGCTGCGAGCACTGACAGGTCTGAGATGCAGTATAAAGGCATCATTGCCTCGTGTTGCAAACTCGATATTGATAAAGTAGATGATTTTGTTGAAAGCATAATTAGTGCTATTGAAAACGATAGTAATGAACTCAACCGGGACCATATAGGAGCCTTTATGAATAAGGTTCGTGGCTCCGAAAGCCTAATTTAGGTTTTTTCTGTTTGACCCTCTTCGTTTTTTTGGATATTTAGTAAAGTTATTTACATAAGTAAATTTTTTAAATTTTTTTGTCCCAAATTTTTTTCTAATGCAACTATTACTTAACAAAAAGTAACAAAAAGTCGTGTGGCTTTATGCCCACATTCGTTTTTATTAAATAAATATGTAATTAAAAATTTTTTATAATCTAGTTATTCAAGTAAAGTTGCTTTTTTAAGCAAATATTTATCACTTTTTAAAGGATAAAATAATTAATCACAAAGGAAGCAATATGATTTTTATTAGGTTTAATACTATAATAGAATAAAGAATATTAAAGTAAAACTCGTTTTTTTATTGCTTTTGTGTTTCTGATAGTTTTGGGATTACACCTGACATTGCAGCTGGAATATTAGGATTTGGAGGTAGTAATGAAGCGACAGTTTTACGAGATTGTTGAATCATAAGGGCACTAAAGAAAAAAAATTAATTAACAAAAGAGGGGGAATTAAAGAATATCATAATAAAATAAAATTTACTCCATGATAACTAGGGCTGCCATTGACTCGACAATTGGCACAGCACGTGGAACTACACATGGATCATGACGACCTCGAGCCGCAAGCACACCATCAACGCCATTGTAAGTAGCAGTTTCTTGTTCTTGAGAAATAGTAGCAGGTGGTTTAAATGCAACTCTAAAATAAATATTTTCACCATTCGTAATACCACCCTGCGTAATAAAATATGATAAATAAAGTGTTCCACCATAAATCAATAATATTTACATGATTACCTGAGTACCACCGGAGTTATTAGTTTTAGTACCTAGTCTATCATTTTTTAATACCCAAGGATCATTATGTTGATGTCCAAATAACGTAGTACCTTTGAATCCACTTCCAATTTCAAAACCTTTTGTAGCTGGAATAGAGAGCATTGCGTGTGCAAATTTTGCTTCCAACTTATCAAAACATGGTTCACCTAATCCGACGGGTACGTTACGAATGACACATGTAATTGTTCCTCCAACAGAATCTTTAGCTTCTTTAGCTTCATGAATACGCTATTAAGAGATAAACTAATATTAACTAAGGCTCATAAAGCTTTACATATAAATAATGTTTATAAGACAGACCTCCCGCATTTTATCTGATACTGTTTTATCGGGACATCGAACGGCATCTTTGTCTACTTCTTCTCTACGAATTGTATTTAAAAGTTCCCAAAAATCTTCAGGAAATAATCTTTCATCTTGCTCATTAATAAATGGCATTGCTATATTTGAGACTGAAGATACAAATGCAACAATCTCAACTCCATGAACAAGCTTTAAATACTTTTCAGCAATAGCTCCAGCAGCAACTCTCCCTATTTAAAACAACAAACATGTTAGCATGAATAAACCAGAGATGAAATCAGAAGTTTCACTAAATCATTTTGTCTTAACCTATTGTTTCTCGAGCAGATGCTCTGCCTCCTCCACTACTTGCTTTGATACTATATTTTTGTAAATATGTCCAATCAGCGTGACTTGGTCTAGGATATAAATCAGTTTCTGAATAATCATGAGGTCTTTGATCCTGATTTGGAACCAATAATCCAATTGGCGTACCTAACGTTATACCAGATTCTGTACCCGATTGTATTGCTACTTTATCTTTTTCATCCCTCTATATTCAAAAATACTTCTATTAGCTTAATTAATTAACAGCGAAATAATGCGAATTATTTTTACTCACTGGAGTTGTCAAATTACTTTGACCTGGTCTCCTTCTATCAAGTTGTATTTGTATATCAGCTTCAACGAGAGATAACCCAGGTGGACATCCGTCGACAATGCAACCTACGGATTTGCCGTGAGATTCTCCAAAGGTAGTAACTCGAAAAAGTGTACCGAATGTACTCATTATGCAGAATATAGCATCGTATCCGATAACGATAACTTAGATCTTATTTTACTATATATATAATAATATTTTTGTAATTGTGGCTTGTTGTCGTGATTAACATTGTTTACATTTGTGATAAATATTTGGTTTTTTTATTTATACAATGACACTAAATTAAAAAGATGAATCCTCGATTTGTATTGTACGATGTGATAAAGAAAAAAAATCCGATGATAAACTAATTTTATTAATTAATTAAACTATCAATTGACTAGTGCGCGTAAATTCGACATATATTATTGTAATGCAGATTTAATATTCGCTATCCGGTCCTACTTACTAATTACTATACTATACTTATACTTCATACTTCGTATAAAGGTGCAGTGAAATTCTTTTATTTTTTTTATTTTGTTTAAAGTTTTCTCTTGAATCTTATCTTTATACCTTTTTTGTCATTATCTTGGTAAGAATAACTGTGTAAATTAATTTCAATTTTATCACGTGATTGAACCTGCCAATCAAAAAAAAATTAATAATAATCATATTTCATTATTTAAACGCGCCTTTCTTGGGAAATTTCATAAGAACAACTCTTTTACAAATTAAGATGCCTAAAGCAGCTAAATCTATAACCGCTACTACAAAGCTAAATCGTAAAGCGACCACTAAACAAAAAGTGGATACCGCTAAGAAAGCTACTAGAAGATCCGCTAAGAAGGATTCCTCGGATCCTAAACGTAATCTTACTGCGTATATGTTCTTCTCGATGGAGTATAGAGAAAAAGTGAGGCAAGACCATCCTAATGCTACTTTCGGTAAGTTCATTAAAATTTATTCTTCTTTGATATAGTGATGTATTTTATTCGTAATTTTACAGGTGAAATCGGTAAACTCCTTGGCAAAAAATGGAAGGATATGTCTGAAAAGGAGAAAATTGTAAGTGTAATTTCATATAAAATGAATTATTTAAAACGAAATTATTCTCTGACGCGTCAATTAATCTATGCTTTGTAAATTAGCCTTATGTTAATAAAGCCGAAGAAGATAAAAAACGGTATGAAAAAGAAAAAGCCGCAATTGGGGTAAGTTGTTGTAATGTTTGTTTGTAACATAGAAACATTATCTTACAATGACTATTAGGAAAGCAAAGCTGCAGCATCCGACCAGGATGCTGAAATGGACGATGAAAACGTTTCCGACAATGAAAGCGGGTGAATACCGGGTACGATAACACATGAACTTGTAAAAATTTGATTTCATTATAATATCACTAATATCACTATATCACTATATAGCCGTAATTTGTGATGCTTATAGAGACAGAATCTATATTATGACTTGTTGGTAAATATTGAAATATATAAATTTATACCTATGTACGATATTCTATAAATAATTGAGCTATAGACGCGTCACAATATTGTAAAAATCGAAAGTATAGTTAAACTGATTTCTTTTAAATTTCATTGATTTGGATAAATATTTCATTTTTCTTTATGGACAAATATTTTATAAAAAAAAGCCTTGGTTGCAAAGCCACTAATCAACTGCTAAGCCATTGTTGTCGCAGAAAATTTGTTGTTTACAAATCGGAAAGGGAAGGTAAATCATGACTTTTTAATTTTTACCGGAATTAAAATGGCTAATCTAATAAACCTAAAAAAAGTGTTCTTTGTTTAAAAAAATGTTTTTGATGTTTACATTAAAAAAAAAAAAATTAGCAAATAAAAATTTCCATCTTTATAATAATAATTTCCGATTTCCGAGTTCAATTCATATTGCTAATAAAATAAAATAATATTTATTGAGTAGCTTTACAATCAAATAATTTATTAGATAATAATTATCTTGTAATAAAATAATTTGATAATATTACTTATTTTTACTTAATAATTTGAAAATAAATGTTTTGAATATGTGGGGTTATATTATTATTTATTATTATTAAATTCTTAAAAAAAAATGAAATTTTACTTAATTTTTAATGATTTTGCAAGTTTTACCCTAAAATGAAAAATATTTTATATTTTAATATTACTTTTTTTTGAATAATCTATTGATTTATATTCAAAAGTATATATTGTATAAATTTTAAGACCTTTAATTAATATTTTTATCTGAAGTGATTTGCTAATTATTTGCAAAATATTAAGCTTTATAATAATTATTTTTTAAATATTTAAATATAAATTTGATTTGGTCAAAAATTGATGTATTTACCTGCTTTAATTACTATATAAATTACAATTGATTTTTTAAAAAATAAAACTAATTAATTATAAAAAAATTTTGGAAATAAAAATAAAAAAAATGATAATTTTATAGGATAATTCAAATTATTTTAGAATTTTAGTATAAATATAAATATTTATGTTAAAAAGTATAATTTTATATCAAAAAAATTAATTAACTTTAATATTGTATTAATTAAATAAACTAAAATAAGTACTTTTTAACTAATATTATAATATAAAAAGATTATCTATTATCTTATTAAATAAAATATCTAAACTTGAAAATTTTTAAAAAAGTTATTTTATATTATTTATAGAATAATAATCTGACAAAAACTTTATTTTTTAGAAGTTTATTATAATTTTATATTAATATTATTAATTTATATAAATTTAAACTGTAAATTTATTATATATTCTAATATTTTATAAATTTTATACAAATTTTTATATAAAACTGCAATATAATTATTAAATTTATAAATAAATAATTATATTATTACTTAGTAATAAAAAAATTTACATATATTATATAATTATTAAAGTAGTAATTTGAAAAAAAACTTTCTTGTATTTATAAAGAAAAAAAATATTACCAAAAAGAAAATAATAATAAAAATTTATAATATATATGATTAAAGGTAGGTTTCAATAAAAATGTCAATCTGGTTATCTAGTTAAATTACATGATTTATATTAGTAAAATTTATTTATATTTTTTGTGAAATGGTATTGCTAAAAAGAAAATGATTTGCATACTATATGTAATCAAATAAATAATAGATTAAATGGATAATTAGATCTTATTTCTATATATATAATAATTACATATATATATATATATAAAGATCAATCAAAAGAATCAAGCATATAATTGAAAAATTTTTGAATCCTATTAGAAGAAAACGTATTACAGTGGGACATATTGCATATCTTATTAATCATGTTCTTATCCCAAGAGTGGTATATGTGGCCTAATTAATGACATTATCAGAAAATGAATGGAATCTTTTGTTTACTCCACATCAGGAAATTTGTTTAGGCATAATTTAGTGTAATATTTCGAAGGTGGTGTAAAATTTCGAAATATTACACTAAAAACGTAATATTACAAAAGTTTACGCTCTTAAATTTGAATAATTATAGTAATTTAAGAATATCTCGCTATCTACTGATCCAATCAAGACGATCTATAGCTCATTGGAATCAGCTCATCAAGACGAATCGAATGGTAGTAAAATCTTATCTTTACGTTCGATAGATGATTTTCTATTAATTTAAAACTTTACTGCATACTATAGAGCGTTCTATCAACTGTAGAAATGCGATTTTACTACCATTCGATCCGTCTTGATGAGCTGATTCCAATGAGCTATAGATCGTCTTGATTG